TTGAAGCCACTCATCCCCTTGCCTCAGCCTCCCAAGTGGGCCTGGGCCACCACCAAGGATACTACTTGCTTACAGTAAATAGAAATGCTGTTTGCTAGGTGTCTTGGTTACTTCTCTCTCGTTGCTGAGACCAAATACCTTCCACTAAAATTAAGGAAGGAAAGGTTTATGTAGCTCACAGTTTGTGGAGGTTTCAGCCCACACTCACCTGGCTCTGAGGCAGGGCAGCCCATGGCAGAGGGCAGCCATTCATGGTGGCAGAAGACAGCAAATGTAGCAAGAGCGAAACAGAGGAGCTGGAGCAGGCCTCTTTCCCTCCCTTTCCTGTGTGCAGGCTGCCTGCCCCAGGGCGGGCGTAGTAGCACTCCCACCCATAATCCCAGCCTTGGACTGAAATTAATCACAAACTCTAGAAGCCACCCCATGACTGTGTGAGGCTTTGGGGGACTACTAAACACAAACCATAACAGTAGGGGTCATTAGAATATGTTGTGAAAAATATTCTGACAGTTGGGAAAAGCAACTGCCAGAGTAGATTGATAATTGTCAAAAACAAAACGAAAATCCAGATTGTTGTCCACTAGCCATGGGAAGGATGGACCGTATTTCACCCGAAGGTGCTTGGGGTGAGTGGCGGCGGGCCGAAGGACCAGCTTCCGGAAGGCCCATGCCCGCCCAAGCCCAGGCTGTCCGCGGTGCCGACGACGGGGCTGGGAGCTTGGAGTCACAGCAGAGCGCGAGCTGCACCACTGCCCCCTGGGGAGACGCCTCTGCAGGGGCTGGGAGCTTGGAGTCACAGCAGAGCGCGAGCTGCACCACTGCCCCCTGGGGAGACGCCTCTGCAGGCCGGTTGTGAGAGCTATGGCCGGCCTTCCTCTTGGTTAGTAGGCACGTGGGTTTCCACAGACTGTCCCAGGAAACACGACCTCGCTGCAGCTTTTCGAGTTAAAAAAAGCCCTCCGCACCTTTGTTGCATCCAACCTTCACAGTCCCCGATATGCCATCACAGAGCTGTGCGGCGGTGGACACAAAAGGCTCTGCCAGTGGACGGCAGCAGCAGAGTCTTTCTCGGTAGCTGAGACAGAGAGAAACAGAGGCCTAGGCATTAGGCAGAGGGGGAGGGAGAAGAGAGGGGAGAACTAAACGCAGAACTGCTTCTCAGAGTGACAGGAAAAATGGATTAAGGGTATTTGAAGAAGAGTACGTGGAGGGGAATTCATGGGAACACGTCTCCTTTTGTCTTTTAGAGAGAGGGCCTTGCTACCTGGCTCAGGCTGGCCTTGAGCTCACTGCTTCACCCAGCCTGGTCTTGAACTTCTGATGATCCTCCTGCCTCAGCCTTCTGAGCACTGGGGTGATAGGCATGTGCCACCATATTTGGTGGAAATATGTCTTTTAAAGCGCTTCCCTGGTAAGCACAAGGGCCTAAATTCAATCCCTGGTTCCGCAAAAAAAAAAAAAAAAAAAAAAAAATTCTCAGTAGAATAAGTGCTTCCCTGGAAATGTCTTTTGTTGTAGTAAAATTTAAAAATGTAAGCATTCACCTGTTTTTCAATCCTCCTCTGTACAACGTGAGCCACAAATACAACCCAGACCTGTGATCCTCAGCTTCCCAGTAGCCATACTGAAAGACAGGAATGGAAGCAGATGAAAGTAATCTTCGTATTCTATTTTCCCGTGGCGCACATCCAAGCTGCTTGGGAGACTGAGGCAGGAGGATCATGCACTTGAGGTTCATCTGTGCAAACAAATGCTTGCAAAAAAGAGAAAAATTATTTAACATGATACATCCAAAATATGGTAATCAATACACAATATCATGTATACTATCTCTGAAATCCAAAGTGTGTTTCCCGCCTCAGCCTCCTGAGTGCTGGGATTATGGGTGAGCATTTTCATACCCAGCCTGTCCAGTTCTTGATGTACCAGCTAAAGTTGCTTTGTTCTCTTACACTGCAGAAATCTTAGCAGAAGGCAAATTAGTAGGCATCATTCTTAGAGGAAGGATCCCAAATCCACTTTATTTCTTATTTATTTATTTATTTTTCTATATTTTGTACAGGATCTATAAGTTCTCACTACACAGATCGGACTCATAGTGATCACCCTGTTTTCAACCTCCCAAGCACTGGGATTACAGGCATGCGCCACTACGCCCAATCTCAATTGCCAGCTCAGTGTGCCCTGGGGGTGGGGCCCACAAGGGATTGAACCCCAGCTGCTCTCTGTCTAAGCAAGCACTTAATCTGCTGAGCTATCTGGCTGGTCCCCAAATCCACTTTAGTTATTAAAAAAGTAAATAATTTATAAATGTACATTTGTAAATGCACCTGAGAAATGCCAGAATGCGGTAGTTGGGGCCCTGGCTTTCCTCCGGGGTGTCCCTGTGTCAGAATGCTGCACACACTTGGGGAGTTTTAAAAAATAAAGATGGGGTGGGTGTGGAGCCCTTGGGAGGCTGAGGCAGGAGGGCCGCTCTGAGTTGGAGGCCAGCCTGGGCTACATGGTGAGTTGAAGACCAACTTGGAATAATAGCAAGACCCTGACTCAAAAGAAATGATGGGGCTGGGACGGTAGCTCTGGGGTAGAGCTTTGCCTGGCCTGTCCAGGGCCTGCTTCCATCCCCAGTCCTGGGGGTGGCGAGGTAGGGTGCGGAGAAGGTGGTAGAGCCGTCTCCTGCCCTGAGCTTCTCATTTAATGAGCTTGGGCTGCAGTGTGGATGTCAGATTCTTAAAACCCTCCCTGGGGGAGCGGGGCAGGCTGCAGAGCCTGGGATCTGCTCAGTCCCTTGTTGAGCAGCAGTGGGCAGAGCCACGGACGGCACGAATGTGAGTCTGCAGACGGCGTGCAGGAAGGAGGGACGTGGGGACGGCTCTATTTTTTCCTGTAAAAATGAATCTTTAATCTGAGCCCCATTCGGTAAAAGACATATATTGCACCTCACTCGCTGGGCCTCTCACCTTTTCTCCAAAACATTGGATGTAAACTTGGGGGAAGCGTAAAGATTTGTGACTAGGAGGGCTGCGTTACTCTTGCTGTCGTTAGTCCACCTCTGTTTAGACAAGTGTTACTGTTTGTCTCTCCCATTCACACGGTGGGAGAAATAGCATTAGAAATAATCCTCTTTTCCCTAACCCAGAAATCTCCTCTACAGAGGTGATAAAACCATTTATTTATTTTTTATTTATCTATTTATTTATTTTTGCGGTACTGGGGATTGAACCCAGGACCTTGCACTTGCCAGGCAAGCGCTTCTTCTACTGTGCCATCTCCCCGGCCCTCATTTAATTGTTGAATAATCATTAAACCAGAATGTCGTGTGTATCACAGGCAACCTGCTAAGAACCTACAAGCACAGAAGGAAGTCCGATCCGTTTATACGGATACAACCTCCTCCATGTTTCCAAGAAACTAAACTAATGACAACCTTGAGTCTGTCATCTGTCGTTCATCTAAATTTACTCTGCAATCCGGGAATCGCTTTTGTTCGTTAATTGGCTTTATTCAGAGGAAAAACAAACTTTTCACAACTTTATGACGGGAGTGACTTTTACAATTTGGAGTAAGATGATCACCAAGATTAGGCTGCTACTTTTTTATAGAAGTTGGGGGAGAAAGGATTCTTTCTCTAGTCTCCAAAAGGGTTTCTCTACATTCCAAAGGCAGAAGAAGGGTCTTACAGCGACAAGCTTCTTAAGTAAAGACTCCCTGACGTAAAATTGTTATGATGAGGCTATAGGAATTGTGCTAGTCAGCTTGCTGTTACTGTACTAAAGGATCTGAGATAATCGGCTTATAAAGAGGAAAGGTTCATTTGCCCTCCCAGATTTGGAGCTTCCAGTCCGTGATCTTTGGCCTCTCGGCTTTGAGTCTGCGGCGAGGCAGCTCATCATGGTGGGCAGGAATGCTCACTTCATGGCCGGGTTGCAAAACAGAGAAGTTGGGCGGGCTCCACAATCCCCTTGGAGGGGGCACGACCCGTGAGCTAAAGAGCTCCCCCTACACCCTGCGCACAGCCGCTCCACTCTCTCCTAGTGGTGCCCTGCGGGGACGCCCTCTATGCTTCAGGTGACATAGGACATTCAGTCTCTGGGCCTGCCAGGGAGCTCAGCGGACTAAGTGCCTGCTAAGGCAAGCGCAGGGACGGGGATCGATTCCGGGACCACATGCCACGCAGCCGGGTCCCCGGGGGCCCACGGAGCCGGAGGAGTCCGGGCGTGCTGGCGCGTGCCTGTAATCCCAGCGCCGGGGAGGCTGAACACAGGAGGACCACTAGGAGTCTGAGCTGGGTAGCGAGACTGGCGGGCCCGAAGTAAATCCAACTACCTTTTGCATGTTCACTTGATTTTTGCTAAGAGGACCGAGTGGACACAATAGGGAAGGACAGTCTC